GGCGGGGAGGGAGGGGAAGGGGAGGGGGGAAAGACAAAGAGAGGGCCCGGGCGCCGAGGGAGGAGCGTGACCTCAGTGCTGGGAGGCCTCTGCCCGTCAGGCTGAGGGCAGGCGGGCGGGGCAGCGCCCCAGGCTGAAGAAGTCCCTTTCTCTCCCTCTCCTCTCTGGCTGCTGCGGTGGGGGACCTGGGGCCTCATTGGCCGGCCGGGCGCCATCCTCGGCATAAATTGGAGTCTGGGCTCTTGCTGGGACTGCCTGCTGCCCACAGCCCCGCTGCCCGCCCTCCTGCCGCTCTCGCTGGGTGAGTACCGCGCTCACCCCTGTGCCCGAGCCTGGAGACGCCCGGGCTTCTTTCCCCGGCCCAGAAACCGGCGGCACCCCAAGAGAGAGGCCCGAGTCTGCCGTCTAGGCCTGGGCACCACGAGTCCGGAAAGTTTCCCCTCCAGGTTCCCAGGGCTCCTGGGCCGGCGGCATGAGAGTGGTGTAGCCGGGGAGGCCGCCGGTGTCGCTGACCTGGCCATGAGGTCCTCCTGCCGGGCTGGAACCTGCCAGCACGCTGGGTCCCTGCAGACGCGTTTTGGAATCCAGCTGTGACCCGACACGGCTTCACTGTCCAGGACAGGGTCCCGCCAGCAGGGAGGGGAGCACGAGGGAGGTTCGGGGCTGTCCTGCGGTCCCTTCCCCGGGCAGGCACGCCGCTGGGCGTCGGGGACGGCAGGGCCAGTGTGTGGCGCTCTCCCTTCTCTCAGGTGATGGAAACCCCGAGCCCAGCTGCCGCCCGGGGCAGGGCTCTCTGGGCTCTCCTCCTGGCCGTGCTTGGCTCCGCTGCCGGCCAGCCGCTGGGAGGTGAGTCTGCCTGTACGGCCCGGCCCCTGGCCACGTACAGCATCACCTTCACGGGCAAGTGGAGCCAGACGGCCTTCCCCAAGCAGTACCCTCTGTTCCGGCCCCCGGCGCAGTGGTCTTCCCTGCTGGGTGAGTGCAGCTCTGCGCCCGCTCTCGCGCATCCGCAGCGCCTTGTCCCCCAAGAGCTGACAGCCATGACAGCAGCACCGCCCCACACAGAGTGGAGGGCACTTGCATCCAGGTCACTTGAGCGCGAGAAATATTCGCCAAGTGCCCCCTGTGTGCCGACCGGCCGGCCGGCGACGTCCTGGGCTCTGGGGACGTGGTGGGGCAGGGCGGCCAGAGTCATGGGGAGGGCTGGCTGGACGCTGGTCACACCAGCAAGGTGCCTGGGCAGTGGGAGGCTGCAGGACGTTGCCGTCCACACGTGCCGGGTGAATGCGTCTCCCGGCCTGGCTCGAGGAAGGAGGCCAGCGTCCGCTGGGGGTGGCGGCTCACGCGGCGGTGGTGCCCACAGGGGCAGCGCATAGCTCTGACTACAGCATGTGGAGGAAGAACCAGTATGTCAGCAACGGGCTGAGGGACTTTGCGGAGCGGGGCGAGGCCTGGGCCCTGATGAAGGAGATCGAGGCGGCCGGAGAGAAGCTGCAGAGCGTGCACGGGGTGTTCTCGGCCCCCGCCGTGCCCAGCGGCACCGGGCAGACCGCCACAGAGCTCGAGGCCCACTCCAGGCACTCCCTCGTGAGTGGAGCAGCGGCGGGAGGATGGTGGGGTGCGGGGCCTGGCCGCCGCCTCGCTGAGCGCCCGCCCCCCAGGTGTCCTTCGTGGTGCGCATCGTCCCCAGCCCCGACTGGTTCGTGGGCGTCGACAGTCTGGACCTGTGCGACGGGGACCACTGGCGGGAGCAGGTCGCCATGGACCTCTACCCCTATGACGCCGGGACGGACAGCGGCTTCACATTCTCCTCCCCCAACTTTGCGACAATCCCGCAGGACACAGTGACCGAGGTGAGGGGACAATGGCCCCATGCCCGCGCTGGCTCTGGACCCCTCGGGGAGGCATGTGAAGACACTGCCCCCCTGGGGTGCCTGGCTCTGTCTCCTGCTTGGAAGACGCCCCTGTGCGTCGTGTCCAGAGAGCAAGGGGTGCGGTCCCTGCCTCTCTGCAGGAGAGGCCCAGCACTTCCCGGTCCTCTTCCCAGGCCGTGGGCCCTGCGCCGCTGTGGGCCAGGGAGAGCGCGGGAAGCCCGCGCCAGGGGTCGAGAGGCTGCACTGGGCTGTGTGTCGCTCAGAGGAGGGCCCAGGTTGGGGTCTGTTTTCCGCACTGCCTTCTGGACCCCCAGGACTGGCTCCCGTGCCTGGGGCCACACACACACGCTCGCTCGCGCAGGTGGGCTTGTGGGTTCTCGGGCTGTGCTGACTCCCTCGTCCTCCCCCAGATAACATCCTCGTCTCCCAGCCACCCGGCAAACTCCTTCTACTACCCGCGCCTGAAGTCCCTGCCTCCCATCGCCAGAGTGACCCTGGTGCAGCTCCGGCAGAGCCCCAGGGCCTTGGTCCCGCCCGCCCCCGACCTGGTCGGCAGGGGCAACGAGATCACAGACAGCCTCCCGGGTAAGCCCGGTTCCCAGCCCTTGCAGGCCCACCACTGCACTCCCCGCCCCGAACACACATGCTCCCCGCGCCAAGCGCTCAGGCTGGCTGAGGCCAAGGAAGACGCCCCACTCACATGGGGCCTCACCCAGACGCCACCCGTCAGCGGCCGATGCCGAGCCCCATGCACCAGCTCTTCTCTCACCCTTAGAATGATCCTTAAAAGTGAGTGTCCACCACAGAAACAGAAGAAACAGTAGAAACAGAGAGGACACTCAGGCCAGAAACCGCGCGGAGGGCACGTCTGTGAAGTGGCAGTGACAAGACCTTGATACCCGCCACTTTCCCGAGGCCACACCTCTCGCCCCCGTGCTACCCCATGAGGGGAGCTGGTCCAGGAACCACGCCCCGAGGCTGCCCCACCTGCAGACGCCGTCACAGAGCTGGGAAATGCACCCACTTCTAGGCCAGGCTCCGGCTGCGAGGACAGGTGTCCAGCCAGGGCAAGGCTATGGGGCTCAGACAGCCCCGGGGCACCACGCTCTTCGGGTCATGTGAACCTGCATCTCTGAGCAACTTGAAAACAAGAGTTCAGAGCACTCAGCACAGGACAGCGCGGCCCCAAGAGATGGGATTTGTTGGTTCAGATGGAAGATTTGACTCTTGCACAGCATTTGCCTCTGACAGCCCTTTACGCCGCTGCAGCCCAGAGTGAGCCATGGAAGAGGCCCAACCGTCCCTTCGGGGTGCCCGCGTGTGGCCAGGTCCCGGCTGACGGGGAAGGACGCTTCATTAAGTGGATCCCTCTGTGCCCTCCCCACAAAGGGGACGGTGGGGGGTTCGTAGAGGTGGCGCTGCCCACAGAGGGAGAACCCGTGCGCCAGGGGCTGGGCGAGCAGGGTCCGTTCCCACCCGGTCAGCTTCGAGAGCAGTCAGTGGCTGGAAGATCATAGCAGGCAGCTGAGAACCTCATCAGCCCCGCCCCACTCAGAGCATGATTCACAGGGGCATTCTGCACCCTCCCCCGGGGGACGTGGACCCAGCACAGATGGGGTCCCCTGGGGACCTCACACCACCACCATGCCAGCGCCCCAGACAGTGGAGACTTGGGCGACAGCGCTCGGCTCTCAGGGTAGAAACGTTAACTCGGGCTGTTTACATGGGCTCTAGGAGGCGTGTTCGGTGGCTCCTCCAGCTACTCCAGACCAGGCGACAGAAGCAGCTGTTTGCTCCCACCCTGAAGTCTGGAGACGGTCTCGCACGGGATACCTGGGGTCCCCTTCTGCCACGAAGCGCCTCCTTGCACAGGTGCTGACGTCTCTCTTGTGCTTGTCCAGTTCCAGAAACGCCGCTGGACTGCGAGGTCTCCCTGTGGTCGTCCTGGGGGCTGTGTGGAGGTCCGTGCGGGAAGCTGGGAGCCAGGAGCAGGACTCGCTACGTCCTCGTGCAGCCCGCCAACCACGGGGCGCCCTGCCCCGAGCTGGAAGAGGAGGCAGAGTGTGTCCCTGACAACTGCATCTGAGAGCAGAGCCCTGCAGCCCCTCAACCCCGCAGGGCTGGCCGGGCCTGGTCATTCAGGTCAGGGCCACGCAGCGAGCAGGCCAAGCAGGGGCTTCATCGCCTCTCTGAGATCCACTGCGGCCTGACCCCTCTGCACAGACGTACCGCAGGCGTCTCCTGCAAGCTCCTCTCATTTACCACGGCAGGAGGGTGTCTTCCGTGCAGAGGACTGGCGCATGGCGCCCACGCGGAGGGGCTGAGGGACAGCCATGCGCCCTTGTGGCTGGGAAATGCCTCGGACCTGGTGGCCCAGGCACCGCCGGCACAGGAGCCCCGCACCACGCCCGCTCCTCGGAGCCAGGCTGCCACCCGGCACTGCGCCCGGGTCCACGCAGGTGACACCCCATGAGAGAAAGAAGGGGGGGTGGGCTCGGATCCCTCACCTCAGAGCTGTCTTGTCACTGATCTCTGCACGTGAATAAAGACTGTTTCCTGACATCAGGGGCTGTCCTCTTGTTCCCTGGATGGGCAGAGGGGGCAGACACAGGGCAGCCCTCCCACCCCTGAGTGGGGTCTACCTCCCAACAGAGGGGTCACGCCCCCGATGTCACGGAGAGCACGCAGCAAGCGTCAGAGTAGCATAAGGTGCTCCGTCCGATGCAGCGCACCCAGCGCCCACAGCAGGGAGCTCTGAGGAGCAGCAGCGAGCTGCGGCTGCCCAGGCTCTGCCCAGGCCACTGACCACTAGGCCCCAACCTCGCAGAGGTGCCCTGAGGGCTTCTACTTTATCTGTCTTCACCCTTATCTGAGGTCCGGGGTGGGCAACCTCACCCTGCCAGCATGAACCCTTCCTGCCAGAGGGATACAGGGATGGATCCAGTGGGGTCCCGAGTGCAGGCGGGGCTGGTCTGACAGGGGACCTCTGGAGATGGGGGCGCCTCTCTTGGCTCCTCGGGCAGCTTCCAGACCATTCTACCAACTGCTTGGACTCCTCCCAGTGCCCTGTCCACTGCCCTCCTCACCTCCACCCCCACCTCCCAGTGCCCTGTCCACTGCCCTCCTCACCTCCACCCCCACCTCCCAGTGCCCTGTCCACTGCCCTCCTCAGTCAGCTCCTGCTGATTCTTGGACACTTTCCCCTCCATGCGGAGACTCTCCCCCTCCCCATCTCTATTTCCTCAGAGTCACTTCTCCCACTTCTCCTGTCCTCACTCTGAGCGCCAGTCTTGGCCCCAACATGGTCGGCCCTCCCACAGGCCACCACCAGTGGACTGTCCACACCCCCACCAGAAGCACCCTGAGCTGGACCCACCCCGGCACGCCTGCATTGTCAGTGGCCCCCCCGTCGCAGCTCTCCCTTGGTCCCCGTTTGGTCATTCACGCAGCAAACGTGCTCTGTCCTCCTAGAAGACATTCCTCTTGGCTGCCCTTCCCGGCCCCGCCCCTGCGCCTCAGTCTGTTTTGCAGCAGCAGAGCGCCTGGAAGGCATTTCCCTTTCTGATGCTCAGCCCCTCCACACCGGCTACCCCTCTGCTGCTGTCGAGGGCCCTGTGTCCATGCGTCGCTGCACCTGGGGGTCTGCGCTCCTGGCTCGTCTTCCTCGCCCCCTCAGGAACGGGTGGTAGCCCCCCAACGCATCGAGTTCCTTTGGCCCCCAGGTTCCTGCCCTGTCCCCCCAGTGGCTGGGCGAGGCCCCTTCCCTGTCCTCCCTGACACCCATCTCCGCAAGCTCCGCCTCGGACCCCCTCCATCCTCTATTGACACTCACCCCCGGACCCATTTCTCTCCATAACAGCTGTAGCTCCCCAAGGGTCACCTGACCTTTGACCTCGGGGAAGGAGGAGGGAAAGCGGCTGCCTGGGAACATTTATGCCCCAGCGGGGTGGTGGAGCCCGGCTGATACCCTGGACACATGCTGATGCTGGATGTACTGCTAACTGACTGGTAGCTTTTGCTCAGAGGAGGGGGCTTGTCTGTGGAATGTTCTTAGCAGATGTTCTCTGTGGATTTGTGGGCAGGTAATCTTGGGGCACAACTTGGAGACTGTCACAACCCAGCGCTCTCCAGTGAGGGTAGCACCCGCACAGCTCACTGAGAGCCCGTGAGGACCTGGACCCCTAAGGGCGGCCCATCCCCCACGGCTGTACCCACGCCCCGTGTGCTTGGCTCCCCGTGTCTTAGTGACGTACCACATTGGGAAGGCTCCTCGGGAGTCTCACGAGCAGAGACTTTTGGTCGGTCTGCTCACAGACATAACCTGCCCCATAGGCTCCCAGCCAGGGGCTTTGGGGTGAAGGACATGCAGTGGTGACAGCCAGCACAGCACAGCTCGGACACAGCAGAGACGACAATTACTTGCCGAATGAATGAGGCACTCAGTTCACTTCACCTGTTTTGCAGGAGTCCTGATACTGAGCACCTAGAAACACTAGACAAAATGTCCAGCCTTGGTGAACCGGTCAAAGGTAGGGAATTCCCCGAGGCCGCAACAACCAGACCCGCAGGGCACGCGGCGCGTGCAGGAGCCAGACTCCTCGTGTAGCCCCGCTGACCTCTGACGCCTTCCCCTGGGGCATCTGGGCCTCCCCTGGCACAGGAGCAAGCAAACAGCCGGCCCGCCAAGGGCACAGCCACTCTTGCACTGGGCTCTGCACAGAGAAGAAAAAGATTAGCCCTGACATTCCTGACTCACCTGACCGTAAGGTCTGAGATGCCAGTGGAGATCTGAAAACCCCTCAGTAAAAGTTTTGCTTAAAGATTCCTAGACTGGTAACGCCCCCAGGCACCTAGAAGAAACAAGTGTAAATCCCCCTAGGAACCCCACTGTTGACTGGACTCAAAGAACTCCCACAGCAACATGAGCTCACAATCGAAACCCACCAAACACACGAGAGAACCAGCATGACACCCCTAAATCAGAGGACGCGGCAAACTGCAAAATCAGACCCACAAAGCCGCTGATGTGGGGTATCAAGTATAGGATACGATTAAGCGTGCTGACTACGTTATCCAAACCTGAGCTCAAAACTCAGAAGTACACCCTAGAAGCAAGCACATAACAAGGTTATAGGCTGAAACCTGAGTAGACGGACCCAATACTCCAGTCAAACGACAGGGATTGTAGACTGGGGTCACAACACCAGGCTCTCTGCACAAGACTTGTAAAATCCTCTAAGGACTAGAAGGCTGGGGAAAGATCTGTGGTGGAGACCTCTGCAACACCGTGTCCACTTCCCCTCCTTCTGGTGCACGGGGTGGCAGGGTGGGGGTGGGGACGATAAGCGTCATTGTTTGGGTCTGGAACATTTACTGCACATGTGAGATGCTCCAGGCCCTGGAACACAAGGTAACATGGAGGCACCCTCACAGAAGCCACCCGGACAACACACCAAGGATGGATACCCTGGAGAGTGCGCAGGACCTGTGGCCAACAGAGAACAGCCTTTGTCATGGTGAGGCGCTGGGATCGAGGGATGCAGAGGATGAAAGGACACCAGTAAAACATCCTGTGATAGACGGCGCTCTGGCTGCAGAGGAGGGAATGGGACACTCTACTGGTGCTGGTGCTGCTGGTGCTGGTGCTGGTGCTGGTGGTGCTGGTGCTGGTGCTGATGCTGGTGTTGGTGGTGGTGCTGGTGTTGGTGCTGGTGCTGGTGGTGGTCGTAGTGGTGCTGGTGGTGGTGCTGGTGTTGGTGGTGGTACTGGTGCTGGTGGTGGGGCTGGTGGTGGTGGTGCTGGTGCTGGTTGTGGTGCTGGTGCTGGTGGTGGTGCTGGTGTTGGTGCTGGTGCTGGTGTGCTGGTGATGGTGCTGGTGGTGCTGGTGCTGGTGGTGCTGGTGTTGGTGCTGGTGTTGGTGCTGGTGCTGGTGCTGGTGCTGGTGTGCTGGTGATGGTGCTGGTGCTGGTGGTGGTGCTGGTGTTGGTGCTGGTGCTGGTGGTGGTG